TATTGCATGGTAAGTAATCACAAGACATATCACGTATTACAGGGTGGTAGCCGTAGACGGCCATCGGTCGTCTGGCATGGCAAATCTACCGCCTGCTAGACGCCGGTTGGTCGGACAATTGTCTTCTCCCGCCGCGCATTGTAATACACGAGGGGGCCGATGGCAATACACGAGGGAGACGATGGCAATACCTGGCTGCACGCATGGTAGTTGTCCGATCATACACAAGGCGGGACATGGTAATCTGACGCAATGATTTTAGACCGTTGTCATAGGTTTGGCATGTAAGATCGCATCTTGTAGCACACACAGGCTGGATAGTGGTCGATTAAAACACACAGTAATCATTCAGAAGAAGCTATCAGATAATGACAGATATAGTACGAGACTACTGGAGGTATGGAGACGCAAGAACAAAATTCAATCGCGAGCTTTCCGCACTTTGAACGCCCATCGGAGTCTGTAAGACGAGACGATGAGTGAGTGCTGCCGGAGATAAGCGCATGCAATAAATACCGTTCAATCCTTGCCGCCCGACGCGTCGCCGAAAGGCTCATCGATGTCGCAGGTCTCCGCTTCGTTGTCGCTCTCTTCAAGCATCTGATCGCCTGCAGTGGTCGGGGGACGGACTGCACACTTTTCGTGGCCGTTCCCAAAAAGCTCTCTGAGGTAGTATAAGTCAGTCGACGTCTCGATGAGCAGTGAGACTGCACGGAAAAGCGATACTCACTTGACTCACCAAGACCTCAGCTTCATAGCCCAGTTGGGCTTCTGCCGCATTGACTTGAGTAAACCGTTGACGAAATCGTTGACGTCCCAGCGCCCATCGGTGTCGCTCCAGGTTGGCTCACTTGTTACGTAGAAGCGAACCTGACGCAATACACATCAGCAAACGCCACACGAAGTCGCCGAGGAGCTCACCAGCGCTGCTGTAGCGACGACGGAGTACAGCGTGAAGCTGTCGGCATCCACGTTGGTCTTCTCGGCGACGGACTTCTGGCCCGGCTGCTTCCGAGTGAGAAACCCGCCGGCATCGCCGCGGATCGCAGCCGTCGGGTTGCCGTACAAGGCCTTGCCAGTAAGCCTGGTAACAATATGTAACTGTTAATTGAGTCGTATGGTACAAACCTGACGCTTACCTTGAGTATCAACTCGCCCTTGAGGAGCCCTTTTCGAGCCCGTGGCCTGGTCGGGTCGACTCACAGAGGTTCTACATTGCAGTAAAGTAATTTTTGGCCTCGAAAGTCTCGATTTTCGCATCAAGGACTTTCTGGCAGTAACTGAGCGACTAGTCATTCATCAACACAAAGAGATATAGAATAAGACGTACTTATCCGGGTGCAAGAAGAGGGGGCGACGAGGACCATCGGCGCGACGAAGCGGCTGCATTGGAGCGGCAGGGGCGGGACATGAGCCGGAACGGGGCGCTTGCTGTGAGTCCGACTGGAGGCACCAAGGGTAGCCTGATCGCGTGATTGGACCTCAGATAGACACATTCGCATGACTGGGCTACGTACCGGTGTGCGCCTGATCCCATTCTCTGAGCCACCTGCCACCCGGGGTGTGGTGGGACCTGTGGCCGTGTCCGACTCACCCCGGGCGTTGCATAAGGCTGGGGAAGATCGTGATCAAATGAGAGGAGGAAATGGGGATGGAGATGTCGCACCAGGTATGTGCTCTTCATATACCTGACTGTGAGGCGAGTGGCACCAGGAGTGATGATGGCGGTTGCGGGAGGCGTTCAGTAGACGCGCAGCCCGCGCCGACGCGTCTTATTGTCTGCACAGGCGCTGAACGCGCGCAATGGCCCCCACCTCCATCTATCATGGGCCTCCGCTTTTACCACCACCCTAACAAAGTATTTAAAACTATGCATGCCTATCGCGATGCGGCGCTTCTGGGTGCGTTGTCCGGAATCAGCAGAGCGCGCAGCCAACAGCGCCCTCCAGGCAGCTCAAGCCGTGCTCAGCCTTCGATTCCGGACGACGCGCTCCACGTCCTCGCCCACTTCGCCCACTTCCGCACGCTCGCGAACAACGTCGACCACCCCACCGGCCGCGAGCCCTTCTCCCTGCCCGAGCTCGTCGAGCTCGACCTCTCAAAGGCGTACGATGTCGACCGCCTCGACCGCCCCCGCCCCGACTCGCCCCATGCGGCACGCCTCGACCGCCGCCTCCACGCACACCGACGGCACGCCCGACACGCCGCCACGGCGCTCGTCCTCCCGCTCGTCACGCGCGTCCAGGCGGGCGTGCTCCGCGCTCACCTCTTCCCCCGCCTCCGCCACCTCGTCTTCGAGGGCCGCGAGAACGACGTCTCGGACGCGGACCGCCTCCCGCCCCACCCGACCCTCACCTTCGTCGACGTCTGGGCCAGCGCGCCGACGGCCACGGCCCCATTGCCCGCCCGTGCGCATGCTCGACCGCGCGCTCGCGAGCCATGCGGAATGCACGATAGGAGTGTGCAATATATATAATGTGCCAACCAGTATTCCCATCTCACCATACGTTATCATACATGTCAAACTATCGTCTTGCGGGCGTTGGTCCATCTTCCGTATGCCATGCTCTGCAAGCAATAGTAGAGCAGACAATTGATTGCCATGTATTACCATCAGCTGTCTAGCAGACAAAAGACGGTATGCCCTTATCAGGAAGCGCCGAGCGCGGTCAGACCCCGCGATGCGTGACAAGAAGATACGCCCTTTGCTGATGCTCTTTGCCCAGTGCCACGTCCGGCTCCTGCTCTGCCCCACTCTCCTCCCACGCGATCGCGACTGTCTACTGCGACTATGGCCCCTTCCAGGCTTTTCCCTCCCACAAGGCTGCTGACAACCACACGCTCGGCCACCCGCACCACGCTCTCGCCCCGCGCCAGGTTCTCGTCCTCCGCACCCGCCTCCGCCACCGCTCCTCCTCGGCCCCGGCGCAAACTCAGATGGACTGGCCTCGCGGCGGGTGCTGCGCTTGCGACGGGAGCGCTGGTGTTCGCCAACGACGCCCGGGCGGGCGCGAACGAGCTCGAGGCGCTGCACGACAGGACTGCCGGGAGCGTCGGGGCGGAGGGCGCGCGCGAGCGGGTGCGGGAGACGATGGTCTCGCTCGTGCGCACGTACGTCGTCTACTCCTTCTGCTCCGTCCCCGCCCTCGTCGACGCCGCGCCCGCGATCCTCGATGCGCTCCTGGCTGTTCCCGGCCTGCGAGCCGTCACGGAGGCGGTCGTCCGCACGACGTTCTTTGGTCAGGTGAGTGGTCAAAGGGGGTTGCTGCTCGTGCGATGAGGCGCTCACGCGGTACGCAGTTCGTGGGGGGAGAGACAGCGGAAGACGCGCTGCCGTTGATTGAAGAGCTCCGCCAGCAGAAGACGGGGTGCTTGTTCGCATACAGCGTGGAGGTAGACGAGGGGGAGGCGTCGGGGCACGGGAATGACGCCGGCAAGCCTCCGTCGTCTGTCCACAAACAGATCGTGCAGGAGACACTGCACTGCATCGACGTCGCCGCCGATTACGAGGACAAGCACACACCTGGAACCGTCGGGAGGCGGACCTGGGTTGCGATTAAGCTGGTGCGCCCTTGATGTGTGGGCGTGCTTGTGAGTGGCTCACCAATCTCTGCAGAGCGCGATGGTACCGGACGCGGAGACTTTGCGCACGTTCTCCAAGTTCCTCGTCGACACCCGTCCGCCCGTGCAGCCACCCGTCGCGTTTCCCGGCGCGCCTCTCCCTTCGGACCTCGACGTGCTCGCAGACGGCCGTGCGACGGGTCCGCTGACCGACGCAGACATCGTCGCACTTCGAGAACTGCGGCAGGATCTGGAAGCGATCTGCGCGCGAGCGAAGGCTCGCGGGGTGCGGATCATCTTCGACGCGGAGTACAGGTCCGTCTGGTTGTCTATACGCGCCTTCTCGGACGTTCGAGCTAACTATACGCGCGCCCGACACAGTTGGTACGAGGTGCGAACCGGCTGCGGCCGATCGTCCATTGTTTGGAAAGGACACTCACGGACTTCCAACAGCCCGCCATCGACGCGTACACGCTCGACATGATGCGCCGGTTCAACAAGCTCCCCTCGCCCGCCAACGCCAAGGCGTCGTGGTTCGGCGGCGCCCCCGCGGCGGCGGAGACAGACACAGACGCGGGCGTACAGCCGCTCGTGTACGCGACGTACCAGGCGTACCTCCGGCGCACGCCGGAGTACCTCGCGCAGAGCATCGCCGCCGCGCGCAGGGAGGGGTACGCGCTCGGGGTGAAGCTCGTCCGCGGCGCGTACCACCCGCACGAGGTCGCGGCGCACCCCGCCGCGGGCGAGGCGCACGCGCTCTCGCTGTCGATCTCGCCCGAGCCGGCGCCGCCGGTGTGGACGGCGAAGGCGGAGACGGACGCGCGGTACGACGCGGGCGTGCGCGCGCTCGTGCACGCCGTCCGCGCGGACGTCGAGGCGAGCAAGAGCAAGGGCGAGACGGCGCCGCCGACGATCGGCGTGCTCTTCGGGACGCACAACTGGACGAGCGCGGAGCTGATCCCGGAGGAGATGGCGAGGGCGGGGCTCGCGCGGAAGGAGGCGGACGGGACGGTCGTCGTCCCGGACGCGGTCGCGGAGCGGGTGACGATGGGCCAGCTCTTCGGTCGGTCGCGGTCGCTCCGCGTCGAGGGCAAACGCTGACCGCGAAACCAAAAAAACGCCCACAGGGATGACGGCGGTGCTGACGACGCACCTCGCGAACCGCGTGCACGCGTCCGCGCCGTTCGTGATCAAGTACATCCCGTACGGCGCGCTCTCCGAGGTGCGCCCCGCCCGCTGCGGTCGCTCTGCGCTGAACGCGGACGTTCTGTTTCTGTTTCAGGTGATGCCCTACCTCGGACGGCGCGCGATCGAGAACAAGTCGGTGCTGGGCAACGGCGCCGCTGCGGAGGAGCGGCGGCGCGCGGCGGCGGAGATCGTGGCGCGGGTGGTCGGGTGAGGCGCGGGTGGATGTGCTCGACGCCCTCGATGGAGATAGATGTCGGGATAGAGGCCCCCCATTGCACAAATGATTCGTGATTGATGATTAACGGGACACGTGTGACGTTTTCAGTGCACATATACGAGGTGGCGGAGCCGACGCCGATTTCTCGCCGTCGTCCAGATCGCGAACCGTCAGGCGGGCAGAAGCGCGAAGCGTTATTATCAGTACTAGTACTCAACAGCGTCGAAGCGGGGGAAGGGACGGGCACGGGACGGGGGACATAAGCAGCGCCCGCGCGGGTGAACGACGGGTAGGGACCGTGTGGTGGGAAAGCAGACGGAGACGGAGACTGGGATTGGGATTGGATACGGGAAGACATGTGGGGGTCGGGACTGCGTTGTATGTGTGTTGTGGAGTGTCCGAGAGCGAGAGGCGGTGTGTAACAAACGAACGGGCGATCGGATGGGGGACGGACGACGGACTAGAGGGCGAAACGAAACAACAGCCCGGCCGCCACAGGGCCTGAAGGGCGGCGGACGGGCACTCGGTCGTGAGGGAGCCGCGAATAAAGAAGGGATCATATGAGAGCATGCGGCAATGTAGCGGACACGAGTACTAGTGAGCTATCAGCGGACCGGAATGTGGGGGGCGACGGGCGGGTACCGACTTTGTCCTGACAAGGTCCGTCGGGGCGCGCGCCGCCACTCAACGGGGATGGACAGATGCGGGGAACGGGTGAGCGAGTGTGGGATGTGCAAAGAGGGGGGGGAAGGGATGCGAGGCGACGCACCGCGGCGCGTGCGCATCTGTGTACCGTGGGCGAGGCGACGTGCGTCATAGTATTACACGTGAGGATTGTCGGGGGTATACTATAACTTGTATGAGATCAAAGACGAGACGACCGCGGATGTGTCTGATCCAAAAAGCCGGGCGCGGTGCACAAATGGGACGGACGACGTGAGACGGGGCGGAGCGCGACGAACGGGTGAGGGGTGAGGGGATAACAAAAATAGGGAATAATGAGGTGGGAACGGCCGAGCCGGAGAATAAACAGTGGACGGGGTCGGCGTGCGCCGATAGTACTGTGGGACCCGTATGCCGTCGTGCACAAAGAGATGAACAGCAAAACATTAAAAAAGCGACCGAGCCCGACTCGCGTCCAAGATGGGTGTTATACGAAAAACTGCGTGCTGTTGATGCCCGTGCATCAGAAACGGCGAGGAGACAGAAAAAAGGGAACAACGCACTGTACGCGGCTGTTAGCGTGCACCTCCATCTCCTCCATCTTGTACGAGTTGAGCTCCTCCTTGATCCGTTGCGCCAGCGCGGGCGTCAGCCTACTCCATGTCGCGGGCTCGCTCCGACGGTCGTACACCGTCGCGGGGAAGGTGTCATACACGGACAAGTTCGCGGCGAACACGAGTCGCTTCGCGGGCGCCGTCGC